AAACAGAACTAGGCCGACAATGAGGGAGCACCGTCGGTGCTGCTGCACGAGCTTTGGCGTCTGAAATATCTCCTCAAAAGTAGATGGTCCACATCGACCATTCTCACTTTCTCCTCTTATACCTGGAGAAGAATAAGGCAGAACCACCAGCGATTCGAAAGAGTTGAAAAAAAAGGGTAAGAAAAAGGCACAACCACCACCAATTGAAAAAAAAAAAAAAAAAAAAAGTTCAAGAAATAGGGTTCAGCAAACATGTTCAAATTGTTAAGCCACATGCGATGAAACTGACCCGAGAGTCGAAGGCTCAATATTCAATCATTTACGATCAAGGAAAATTCCTTACATAGTTGGAAAAAAAAAACATGAGTTACATAGAATGTCTCAAAACTTGAGCTGATGTGAACCATGTTTGCCCGGGACACGGACATCCGGACATCCGGACACACGTGACGGACCCATGTCCGGATTAAACCGGACGTCGGGGTAACCGAACATGTAACCGGACATACGGACAACCGGACCCTGAAAGTCCAGGTGGGTTCACCGGTGTCCAGTCACCGAGTTAACACACACACACACACACACACACACACACACACACACAGGCAAAAAAAAAAAGAAAAGCAAAACTCGTTTCTTCCATAAACATTTGGAACCCTCCCTTGGGCATGGGGGGGGGGGAACGGGGGAAACTACCTTGGTCATCTCCGTCTCCTAAACTGGAAGCACCACCTGATGCCAGTATTCACCTCGCATTTATTTCTGAAATTTGAAGTTCATTTCGTAAGAAAAAATTGACGTTTCTGAGCGGCTTCTCTTAATTCAAAATCACGTTCAAGCCTCTGCATTCTGAAATAAAATTTCTCCCTTCTTTTTTTAATTAAAATTATTTGATAGTAGATTCTAAGATAAGAACATTACAGTTTATAATAGCTGCTTTTGGATTTTTAATTTTTTTTTTGCAGTTCCTTCTGCCATTGCTGTCATTCTCCCACACTCTCCAGTGTGTCAACCTTCTCATTATCACCCAGAAAAGCCTGCCTCACCTTCCAGTACAAGTGTACAGGCGAGAGGCATCTGAAGTACAGGTGAGAGGTATCTGGACAAGCACCTCGTCTCCTTCCATTTGTCAAAGAGTTGATGGTACATTCAGGTGTAGCATCAAATTATTACAGGGGGGGGGGAATATGGACCCCGTTGAGACTCTTTCAAATGACCCGAAAAGCCAAGTTCGTTCTTGTTTGTGATGAGCTACCGTAGGGAGGAAGTCGACCTTCACAAACCCCAAAACCGGCCCCTTTTGCTGCCAGATTCACTGTCAAGGGGCGCACAACCTTCACAAACCCCAAAACCGGCCCTTTAACTGCCAGCTGTTATGCTGAAGGGCTCGCAGAAAAAGTCCAGCAAACCAAACCCCCTACATTAAAAACATTGTTTTCTTACACATACAGATTCAGACAGACATAAAGATGTCTGCACACCTGCAGGGGGGAGGGAGGGAGAGAGAGAGAGAGAGAGAGAGAGAGAGAGAGAGAGAGAGAGAGAGAGAGAGAGAGAGAGAGAGAGAGAGAGAGAGAGAGA